CCCCCCCAGCCTCACTCCCTTCCAGAGATGTTGGAGCACAGACGGGCCTGCCATCTGCCCACCAGGACTGTACCCACACGCCACCTCCCCGTCTCTTTCCCGAGAGGACCTGCCTGCACCCGTCAAAGGCCACCCACTTGGGGATCAGTCCCGTTCCATCACCTACTCAAGGATGCCTCTCCAGCCGTTCCTCCTGCTCTCTCCTACACCGTTAATCTTTGGCCCCCACTGGATCATTCCCATCCGACACAGACACAATGCTGTTTCTCCTTAAAAGCAAAACAAGAAAACAAATATACTCTTGGCCTCGACCTCCACTTCTCCCTCTACCTACCACCCTAGGTTCGCAGCAAAACTCCTTGTAAGAGATGTCCATGCGGGCTGTCTCCAGTCCTCTTCTTTCATTTCTCTTGAACCCTCTCCTATGAGGCTTTCTACCCCAACGTTCCTCTGAAACTGCTCTTGGTCAAGTTACCAGTTACCTCCTGGTTGTTAAACCCTAGCGTGGTTTCTCAGTCCTCACGGTCTTCACCTCTCAGGAACATCTGACCAGGTGATCACGGCCTCCTCTCCATGCACTGTCTCCCCAGGCTTCCCAGACCCACACTTGGTCGTCTTGGTCGTCTCCTGTCTCATTGGCCATCCCTTCTCAGTCTCCTTTGGTGGCTCTTCCCCTCCTTGCCGATTTCTGAATGTTAGAGTGTCCCAGGCTTTAGTTCTTGACGTCTTCCTTCCCTCTATCCTTATTCTCTTAATGAGAGATTGCACCTAGTCTCATGATTTTAAGTATTATTCTTCAATATACTGATGATTCTGTATTTATGTCTCTTAGCTGTCACCTCTCTACCAGATTTAACTATTTAATAGTCTAATAAAACATCTTAAATTCAACAAGTCTGTGACTAACTCCTAGAACACACCCCACAGAATGGGAGGAAATATTTGGAAATAATATATCTGATAAGGGTTTTTGTATCCAGAATAAATGAAGAACTCTTACAATTCAACAATAAAAAGACCTCGTTTAAAAATGGACAAAAGCTTTGAACAGACATTTCTTCCAAGAAGATATGCAAATAGCCAATAAGCACACGAGAAGATGTTCAACATTACTAGTCATTAGGGGAATGCAAATTAAAACCACAATGAGGTACCACTTCACACCCATTAGGATGGGCATAATAAAAAAGGTAACAATAGCAAGAGTTGGCAAGGATATGGAGAAAGTGGAGCCCTCATGCATTACTAATGAGAATGTAAAATGATGCAACTGCTTTGGAAAGCAGTTTGACAGTTTCTCAAAATATTGAACAGAGGGGCTGGCCCGTGCCTCACTTGGGAGAGCGTGGTGCTGACACCACCAAGTCAAGGGTTAAGATCCCCTTACCGGTCATCTTTAAAAAAATAAATTAATTAAAAAAAAAAATATATATATATATATATAGAACAGAGAGTTAC